AATTGGCTTACGCCCGTGCACCATCTCATCGATGATGATGATGATGATGATGATTATGACAGTGCTAGCACTACTTCTGAGGATTCTGATCCGATCAGTATTGCTGACGGCCAGATAGGCATCGTCAGTCCAGCACATTCTGGCATGTTATTCGGTTTGTGGTCGAGTAATGCTAGTGTTGGTAACATCGTGGGCGCTCTGATGGCTGCGGTCGCGCTGGGCATTGCAGGAGCGTATTCATTTATGAAGGGAATAGAGGTGGGCGGGGGGAGTGTAGGGAATTAATGTGGCCGAGAAGATTGAATTATGAGAGATTTTACAGTAATTCTGATAACTTTGATCATCATGGTCTTGGCATGGGTATGAGTTATTAGAGTTTTATATTGGGTATCTATGGTATGGATAGAAATTTTTTTGTATGTCGTGAAGACGACATTGCATGAATTAGCAAGCGCTGTTATCATTAGCATTCGGTTCCTTTTACTAAAGAACATGTTAATGATGAAGTCACTCTATTCTGGCCAGCTCATGGGATTTAAATTTTTGAAATCTCGTCCGCAACGTTTCTACATATAGGTTCTCCTCGTTTACGTGGGACCGTCCGTATTATTGTTGCTTTTTGCCTATCGCTCGAGCAAGTTGAAGGACTTCCCATCAGCTGCAGGATTTAACGAAGGAATGGTAGATACTGGCGAGAGGCTTATGAAGTCATGAGGAGTTTATGTTAGTATAACGTTGGATTGGTTGTTGTTCCTGTATAACCTGGCTCATGCTGTTAATGCTATACTTTCAAGCTAGTTTTGATGTGCGAAAAGAATATTCCGATAATGATGTAGTTCTCTATTTTTAATAGACTCACCGTGCATACATCTGCTATGAAAACATTGGAGTTTCACCCGTTTTACGTGAAGTGGTGTAATACTCTGTGAGAAACCCGATATCTATGGTATGCAGCAGTCGTGATATATATTTTTCACCGGTGTTTTTCATATCACGGGTGAAATTCCAATGATATACAGTAAGAAAGTCTTAGTTTGACCAAAAAAATTGATGAACGTGGATGTGCTCATGTGGATCGTCCGTAGGGAAATCGAACCGTGGGCCTTCCGTGAATTAGTATGCAGCTCCCCCACTATACTAGATATCTTGTACTGCGGTTAGGTTACGACTATGCCCGCGACTGGTGTATCGTTACCGACCTTGGAAGCTTTGTTGAGGGGTCTGGGGGAAATCTGGCACGCCTTCTGGTTACCATTCGTCGCCCGATATTCTCTCGTCTATGCTTGTACGAAGGGCGTCAACTATGCAATGTTTTTCTGGCTTCCCTTCTATCTCAGCGAGGTGGGCACATTATGTGTCAAATCCTGCTATGTTCGAAGCGAAAGCGCTCGCCTCAGAGTGATTCTGTGATTAGGTTTGTGAACTCGATCCGGGATTGGCTGACGGTCTATCTGTATTTTACGATATAGGGCAGTGCTTGGGCGGGGTTATTGCGGGCTCCATTGTTGACAAGATGGCTAAGGGGAAGAAATCGATTGTATGATCGATTTGAATTTATCATTGAGGAACTGTCTTCAGAGAAATTTGTGCAGTAGTGATTCTGGTATAATTTCGTGGCGCGTGATGGAATAAAACCATCCGAGGACTTGTATGTTGCCCTGATCATATTGCTGGTTTGTAGGTGATTACCTCATTTCTTCTTCTGGCGGTGATACCAATTCTAGCGCTGAGCTTGAAGCACAGCTCCGTCGTACCCGTCACTGTTATTATCTTCATAGCGGGGTTCCTGGTAAGGAGGCTTGTGGTATCACTACAGTGGTAGCGGTTTCAGCTCGGTTAATCCGTGAGTCTTCGATCCTCGGTTGAGCATCTTTGCACGAGATGCTACTTGATGCGTTAGTGATGGACTGTGAGTGATGGAGTTAGTTGGAAAGCAAGACACCGAATTCAAACTAGAATGCAGGGAAACTTCTATGAGAGTTGTTATCTGTTACATTGGGAATTCTGGTGATGATCCCTCGATACAGCAGCGAATGAACTAGAGGGTTTCATGCAGTCCGTCTCTGCAACGGAAAAGGGCGATAGAAAAATTGTGTATACAATAGTAGACGACATTCGAGGAGACTGATTGCGATAAGGCCTATCTGTGCCTCTGCGCAACACCATCGTAACTGGCGACTACCAGCGACAAACTTCCAAGCTAGAAGTTCTATTAGAACTGTTTCAACCATTGTCGTTCTATGCCCACCACCTTTTGCATTTATTTCAAGACATGGACCTCTACAGTGTGGATCTGCCTCATGTCTTATCTGTTGCATGCCAAGGGAACTTGTTTGGACTCCTATGAGGTTCCCTTTACTTGTCAGGTTGGAGGTCCCGCCAATTTGATATCCGCTGCAGTATGTGCCGATCTGGGCAGCCAGACCGGTATCGACTCAAATGTGACCGCCTCTGTGAGCGGTTTAGTGGATGGAGTGGCATCTATAGGAGCCGCGATAACGCAACTGACTATTCCCCTCCTCGCAACGGGCTCCAGTTGGGCGTGGTTATTTGTTGCCTTCACAGGTGGGATGAATGTCACCAGTGGGATTCGATGCTGGGATTTCGCGAAGCAAGAAATGTTGTGCTTCTATCTTTCGACTTAGACAATATCTTTGGATACCAGTTGATTCATGTTGGAGGTTCCATGCTTTTCTCGGGTATTCTTTATTTGATCATAATTCTAGTAGCGCAAAATGCTGGTGGCTGAGATCGGACGAGGTTGCTTCGATAAGGGGTCTGATGGTCTCAGGTATGCTGCTGCTAGCGGCGTCCCTGCTGATTCCAGTAGTGAGGAAAGAGATGGCGTCACCCTCAACGGAAGAGGGAGCGATATCGACGCAGATGATAGAATAGCTTTTGGCGAGCTAGAACGTGGGTCTTGGGATCAATAGTCATGCATTCATCTACTATACGATT